GGCTGGATAATTTTTAATAGTGGATTTAGTTGAAAAGGATCAATAAAAATGTTCAAAAAGGAAAACTTACGCAAGAATTTTCTGAGAGTGAAACAAATTGCAGATCAGAATTTAGGAAAGGTGGGGCACTGTTTGTTTTTCTTTTTGTATCTAGATTTTTTTCTTTTTGTACCAAGTAAGCATCGTACACTTAGATTGATATGATTATTCACTTAATTTTTGCCAATGGGTGTCAATAAATCTAGCTTATTTAAAATCTTGATATTTATAATTGTTTTAACAAATAACCTAATGTTGATAATCTGATTCAGAGTCAACTCGTCCCCTGGTCAACTCGTCCTCTGGTCAACTCGTAACCTTTTTGGTCAACTCGTCCCTTGGACAACTCGTACCCTGGTCAACTCGTCCCACAACTCGTCCCCTATATTTTATTACTATTTGTTTTTCATATATTTCATAAATTATTATAGACTGTTAAAATAATATATTATAAAATTACTGAATTGGACATATTTTGACGCTTTTTGTATGCGAATATTTGGAGTTTTATCTAATAATAAGGATATATATGCATAATTCTGATTAAATTACATACAGAAAAATCAACACGAAGACGATCAATAGCAATAACATTTAATGTATAAAAACATGTTTTATATGCAATGATAAAATATCATATTGTATGTCTTTTTGTCAATATTATGTCATATATATTCACTTTCACTTTCACACTTTCATTGTTTTTTTCATCCACATATTTCATTGTCTTTTTTTGACATCTTACGACTCTTGGGGCTTATATAAGTTTCCGAATTCTCTTAGAAGTCCCGTTGATGACAACTCCCCATTCCTGTACCTGTCCCACAGCTGGTGCGTCTGTCCCTGGAGATGGCAATTGAATATTTGGTAATTACTTTATGTTTTCAATCAGGTTTTCAATCAGTTAATATCCACTGCAAATATCAATGTACGGATTTTTTATTTAAAAAAAAATAATGGAAAAAAATACTAACTCTTTCAAAAAGCATGTATGTATACAACTCCTATGATAATGGGCCATAATATAACAATGAAAAGCAATTTTAAAAACTCAGAAACTTAATAAATTCATAAAATATGGCTTTATACCCTTTACAAAAAAATAATAATAATAACAAATAAAACTTCTTTTACAATTTTTATTTTTATTTATCACAAATGACTAACCTGTATTACAACTTCTGTGTTGCCAGTGTTCACAGCGCTCACACTGAAGTGCTTGCTGATTCTTCCGCACATGTTTCCTACAATCAATGCAGGGGTACATTGTCACAATTAACGACACAAATAAATAAAAAAAAGTCACAATCAACAACACAAATAATTAAAATTGTCACATACACCGTTCACACGCAGTCTATAATCCAACAATATGGAATTCTAAGAAATGATTAATATGCACTATAAAAAATAATCCAATGTTGTTATAACGTACAACGCAAATGTGATTTTAAGAATAAATTGACAATTTCACAACAAACAATTATCATGTTTTTAATTGACACGATCCTTCTATAATGAGATCAATACGCACCGACATAAAGTTTTAGCACTTCTATTTCCTGTTAATCTGTCGTCAGTCTTAATCCATTCAGGGAGGCGGTAAAAAGCAGAGTTGGACCTAATTATAGTTTTAATTATCATTAAAACTCCGATTAATAAAACATTAATTGAATGTTTGCAAACTTACCTGTCTTTGTAGTTTTACATCAAAGCAATGCACGTGCGCTTAGATAAAGATCATTAAAATTTAACGTAAAAAAGACTTTATTTTATTAATATTTCTATATCAATCAAATTCATTATTAATTTACCATAAAAGAACTATTTAAAGACATTGATTTACAACATAATAGTGACGAATAGATCGAAAGTAGGGGACGAGTTGACCATATTAGGGACGAGTTGACTCTTTGAGGACGAGTTGACCAAAAGTAGGGGACGAGTTGACCAAAAAGGTGACGAGTTGACCAGAGGACGAGTTGACCAGGGGACGAGTTGACCGGATTGCGATAATCTAATGGAACAGAGATTCTGTTAAATGCGAGTCGCTCTCTTTCTTGATCCGCACATAATGATATACATCAAGGCTAAATTTATTTTACAAACCATACGTCACGTTATTTTTGCATATTTTTACAGCCTGGTCACATATCCTGAACTTAAGTTGTAAAATTCTTCATGTGTAATAATTAATATAGTTGCAATAAAATACTATTTATTCATATGAAACTATTAGTATACCCAAAATAACATACTGGTTGGAGAGATAACTCCGACACTAAATCACATATTTTTTGCAATATCTTAATAATCTTCGTGTATATTTTTAATATTGAACCACCTAAACAAAGTTCAGTTCAAAGACTTTACAATATACTTCAAAAATAATGCATGAAAATTGAATCTGTTACTTCTTTGGGGTCCTGAAAGAGGTATACAAAACATGGTATTTTTACCCCACAACAGTAGATAAAGTCAACACTTAATTTCTTTAGTAAAAAATGACTGGAAAATCTGCATCAATATTTTATTTTTACATTTTATATGTTTTATCTAGTTTTTGTGAATATTTAAACAATTTTTCAAAAATCTTTCCCAAACCAGTGGCCTGTGGTCAATACAATTCTAACTACCTTATTGTAATTTAGTAAAAAGAACGTTTTGAAGCAGTTCTGCCTATGAAAAGTTTAGGTTATTTATAAAAACATTAAAAAGTTTACCAAATTATAACAAATCATCACATTCTGTCCTGCTCCTATACTTTTAGGTGACCATGTCCTTGTTTGTTGTAAAACAAAGTTATAACAATTATATTTATCAAGTGTCGGGGTTATCTATGCGTCGGAGTTATCTCTCCGACCAGTAATGTTAATATGAAATTAGGCAAAGCCTATGAACGGGGAAGTCGGTAAAAAAATCCTTTCATTTTTCTGTTTTAAAGGTGTCATTCGGTATTATATGTACCCACTTCAGTTTTCACTCGGAACACTCGACGATTATTATTAATCCGAAAAGTTGAGATTTGTTCCGTAATCGGAATACACCGCCTTTTATCATTGAGTTACATTTAATTTTGAATTTTTTTTTAAATATACACGTGTAGTCTATAGCTGGGCAAGCCAAAGCCAGCGGGCCCGGACTTTGACTTCCCCGTATAAAGATAGCAATGTATACTCTGTCCTTTGATGTGCAAGGAACTGAATGGTTTCATTCACTGTTCTGTACTTTCTAAACAGCCATTTAATGTGGCTGCCTAGATCCAGACATTATTCTATAACAAATAAAACATGCATTTTTATTACATTATTGTTGCAAACAGAAAAAATCTGGCAGGGCTTTTTTTCCTTCTATAACAGGGGCTGATATAAGGCCCCTTCACAATTCAAAATTGCACTTTTTTTCACAAAGCGGCAGAAAAAAATTCACAATTTCAAAAGAGATTTCACAAAATATTGGGACTTTGTCTTCGAAATACATTGTTTACCTTCTGGTAAAACTTGATTTACGCCAATTGCAATAACACAGAAATAGTTTTAATCAAGTTAAATGGTTTTTGCGCATGTTAACCGGGTTAAAGTACCAACTTGAAGCAGATTTTACACAGGTCAGAAATTATAATCAACCGTTTCCGGTTTCAAAATGTCGTGAAATGCCAAGTAATATGTCATTTTTTTTCACAATTTTATGACATATCGCGCTTTTTTTCACAAAATGAACAGGCCCAGGCCCCTTCACAATTTTGACAAAAAATGCCCTGTCTGGATACATTTTATTTTGATTACCTTATCTGCTTGCAAATGAGAAATGGTGATACTATACATTCCAAATTGATACTGTTTAATACATTTAGTTTTTTGTTTCCAGTGACTTTTCACCATATATAAATGCATACATGCCATAACGTCCCGGATGTCCGGTAAAGTCCCGGAAATAAGGTGTCTGTCCCGGAGATGTTTTATGTCCCGGTAAAAAAAATCTAAAATAATCTACTTTGATGCAAGAAATTTTACATTTTTATATAATTTTATTGTCAAGTTTTTATAAACTAGTCTAGAACACTTATAACGAACGATTATCCCCTTACCACATTGCAATGGTGACACTAATCCTTTGATTGGTATATCTATGTGCCCCTTCCAACAAACTGTTATCGGCAATAATTTTGATCAATTAAAAGATTAATTATTTACCCCCAGGGGCTTCATGAGCGAAGGTGTCATATACTGTAATTAACAAGTGGCCAGCACAAATTTAATTTTATTAGTGGTCAAACACCGTGAAAATTACCGCTAAATATGAGGTGATGAAATCTACAAGATTCAGCGAATGTTTCAGGTAAACGACTAGGCTAATTGTCCTTGCTTAACATAGCTTTATCACTGTTGTACAGCGTCCACCGGATATAGCCACTAAAAACACAGAAAACGAAAGTAGAAAGCTGCACAACGTGTACACCCAAGGTAATGTTTTAACTTATTTCTTCATCATAACTTTCATCGATTTTTCCAAACTAAACAATTTTGTGAAGCTAAATGTTTCTGGTTTTAGAACAGTATTTTCTTTTGTCTGCAAATTGAATGCTTTTTGATATATTGGTGATAAATTGTAGCGTACTTGTTGACATTTGCGAACGATGTTCATATTTACCATAAAATCAAGCCCAAAGCGCATTTGCTGTATCAAATTCCGCCGTTATTACAAATTGTAGTCATCCCTCTACTTATATTTGAGTTTTCACCCTTCAACTCGAGCTGCTTTTGACAAAATTTGCAAAAAACGGCTTTGCCTTGTGTACAGGGTCTAGCACGGATGTGTACAGGGTGTTGATGGAAAAGTGTTAGCGAGTGTACGGGGTGTAGTAGGTAAACGAACGTCATTTTCTGCAAAATAAATTCAGTACCGGAGCATTTACACGTACGCTGATGAAGAAAACGATCAATGTCGGGAGCATGGATTCACGGTAGGGAATCACGTGACTTTTACGGTTACGCGTACAGACAATATGGCGGCCTAAAAACCTCGCTTCACATGTGTTTTTCAGGTAATTCTTTATTATATCCCTTTTACTTACATGCGGGACCTGATGCAGCCTACGCGGAATAAAGAATTGTTGCCGCCTATACCTTAGTTTCCACTCCTGTGCTCATAGCTTTTACAAACACTCAAAAATTCAACAGAAATTTTCAATGTGAACAATTATATTTCGGGTAACATTCACGCAAAATTTGTATTCTTTATGAATTTGATTAAACGACGTCGAGTAAGCAAAGAGAAAATATTCATAAAATTTCTTTATTTGAAAATGTAAATATTAGGCATGTTAAATGTTGACTGGTCATTTTCTATTCCAATACACGAGAGAAAAATGATTTGGGTAACTCCCACGCGTACTTTTATTGTTGATAACTTCCACGCAATATTTTATGGGCAAGCAATATCTATGCAGGTTATAGCCTAGATATTGATTGAGCAAAATCATGATTTATGCATTTAGCCTTAAACGTTCAAAGAATTTTGAATAATATTAAAAATACCGCCAATAGTCCTGGATAGAATAAAGCCCCTATGGATAGCAGAATACATACTCACGTGAATATATTAAATGAAGTTTCGATATAGATGAATTAATCGCAGAAATTAAAATACAAGTCTCAAATATAAGAAGGAGGTCGATTTCAGTTTAAGCACAATTACAGTTGTCATTTTTTTATAGTTTGCAGATATGGGCGGTTCCAGTTCGGATATTGTTTGTGGATAATGTTGGACAACATTTGTCTTAATGACCACATAAACTGGCTACTCGGCACAGGACCTTGTAAATGTTGTGGCAAATCGAAACGTGACAGGTATGGCATTTTATGTTATTCGTTATATTAAGATTTTAAAGACATTCATGTCATTTTATCACTTAGTCTTTTATGAAACCAACTTTTTTTCAAATTAGTGTCTGTATTTAACATACATTTATAAGGTCCTGTGCCGTGTAGACTGTTCATGTGGTCAATATTTGAGACCTATCCGTGAATGAAATGTTTCCCACATTTATCACAAACAATATCCGAGATGGAACCTTCCATATCTGCAAAATATGAAAAATGACAACTGTAATTTTACTAATAAAAACAGAAATACAAAACCTCCTTCTAATATTTGAGACTTTTGTATCAAAACGCGACCTAATTGAATGCTTTGGGTTTGGGAGGCCTTACGCGAAGTTATTGATGTCCTTGGCAATTTATGATTTTACAAGCCATGCCTTTTTGAAATTTATCCTGTCACTTGTATCAATTTCGGCCCGATAACAAGGTGCCGTATATTTTTACTGATCTACGGCACTTGATCACGTGGTATGCATGTTTGCCGGCCTACTTTTCAAGAAAAAATATAAAAACTGTCGTTAAATCGCCCTCAATGTGAAAATACACAGGGAGATAATAAGAACGGCGAGTGCATTGTTGTAGAATAATTAGGGCCTTCTTTGTTTATATACAAACATTTCCGATAGCGTGATTAAATGTAGTTTGCCTAATAAAATTCTTTAAAAAAACGGTGACAGGATAAATAGAATAATAGATTGGTGCCGTGGATGGAGAAAGTTTATCTGGCTCTGCTCCGGAATTTATTGGGTTCGCCTTCGGCTCACCCAATAAATTCCTCCGCCTCGCCAGATAAACTTTTCCATCCACGGCACCAACCTATTATTCTCTATTTATTTATCATATTATTGTAACCTATAAGCAGATGAAGTGTTGTTCGCCCCATATAATTTACGCCCCAAGACGATCGTCAATTTAACTGTATTAATTTTATATCTTAGTCAGAGTAAAATTAAATGTGAATTAGTTTGAAAAATACATTAAATCCATTGCAATTTCAAAATAAATATTGATTAAACTGTTTGTGGTTAAATAATAAAGTTGAGCGTTAAATTTTAAGTTTAATTGCCGTGAATTTTTAGGGAATAATAAGTTTAATTTATATTCTAGATCCTGGTCCTGGCTGAAATTTAGAGTATTACAGCTGTAGCTTCTATACCATAAATTTAACATGGAAAGGACTGTTCTTGGGAAAGTTTTTCTTACCAATAATAGGTCAGACTTAAATAGCTTCTTTTTAAAAAGTTTTGTTGTTTAGTGAACATAATTTATTGTCAATATGAAACTTCAGCTGTATCTTAATTTCTATGCTTTTTTATTATTTAAATCTTAGAAGATAAGCATTTTAAGATAAAACAAATCACTAAGTTAACTAGTAACTTCTTATTTTATTTGCAGAAGCAGTAGAAGTATTCAAACACCATCATGACACACTTTAGACATACCAAGAGAGCTCTAGAAGAAGAACTAGTGGTAGATTGGAACAGATTGTAGCTTAATTGTTAAACTAAAAGGACTTCTTAAATCGTTTGAATTTAAGCTACACTTGAACTGAAGTTTTGAAATAAAATAGCTGAAGTATTTAATAGTGTCTTGATTTTTTTTGTTAAACTCTGTTACGTACAGTACTTAGCTTTATTTTTATATTAAAGTATGTTGAAATGACATTGAAACTTCAACGTTGTGCCAACGTTGAACTTCAACGTTTTTTAAACTTTCAAATTTGAACATAAATCTAGCGTTATTTCAACGTTGAAATCTGACCATACTTCAACGTTGTTCACCGTTGATGTGCCTGCTGGGTTACTTCTTTCAAGGACTATTGGCGGTATTTTTAATATTATTCAAAATTCTATGAAAGTTTGATGCTAAATGCATCAATCATGATTTTTTTTCAATCAATATCTAGGCTACAACCTGCATAGATATTGCCTGCACATAAAATATTGCGTGGGAGTTATCAATAATAAAAGTATGCGTGGGAGTTACCCAAATCATTTTTCTCTCGTGTAATGGAATAGAAAATGACCAGTCAACATTTAACATGCCTAATATTTACATTTTCAAATAAAGAAATTCTATGAATATTTTCTCTTTGCTAACTCGACGTAGTTTAATCAAATTCATAAAAAATACAAATTTTGCGTGAATGTTACCCGAAATATAATTGTTCACATTGAAAATTTCTGTTGAATTTTTGAGTGTTTGTAAAAGCTATGAGCACAGGGGTGGAAAATAAGGTATAGGCGGCAACAATTCTTTATTCCGCGTAGGCTGCAACAGGTCTCGTATGTAAGTAAAAGGGATATAGTAAAGAATTACCTGAAAAACACATGTGAAGCGAGGATTTTAGGCCGCCATATTGTCTGTACGCGTAACCGTAAAAGTCACGTGATTCCCTACCGTGGGATTGTGAAGTGAATTATTTTAATTTGATAAAGGATAAAAATGTTTAATTAAATAATAAACATGTTACGCAACATGTATATTAATTGCAGTTTCCGTCCTGCTAGACCACGTTTTATGCTTAAACTCAAAAGACCACAAATTCAATCCATATGGGTAGCACATTACAACAAATTCTATAATTTGTCTTAAAGAATATCAAACCATGGTCGAGTTTTGCATTGTGAACTAAACTTGATCTAAACTTGTTATATTGGTTTATTAGTTTACTGGTCTTAAGACTTCATTGAAAAAAAACAAAAAATATGAGCTTTGGTAAAATCATTAACTACAAAGTGACCGCAGAGTTATGTTCAGAACAAGGTCGAACAAAAGCTATTGATGACAAAAATAAGAAAATTCACATTTCTAAAAGGAACAATGTACCAAAGGATAGTCCATTCAAGAAAATCACAAGAAAAGCATTGATGCAAAGCATCAAAGGGCATCCAAGCAAGAAATGCATCAAATGAAGATGATCTAGTAGACATATGAAGACAAGTTATTCTTTTAAACTCAATGGTTTTTACCAGAATTGTATATCACTTATGAATGAGCGGACGAAAGACATTGTTCATTATGAACTTTGATTGGCATGCTAGAGATTAGAATATTACTTGTTATTTCTTTATGATCGTGGTTATTAATAGCAACGGATATACATGTATACAATCATTTATTATCCATATGTGTAACGCATGATCAACACCACACTTGTGTAATTGTCCCTTATTATGTTATCGCTATTAGCGAAGACCCCCTCTTAATTAAGGTATCTGTTCACACTTTGTAAAAATGTGACACTGGTTATATTACCATGTTGATCATGTTGAGCACAATTGTTTATTATACAATAATTGTAATATCTATTAATTTTAATTAAAAAAATACAGATTTTATGGATATTGTTTTCTTTTCTTTTTTGTGTTTTATGTGCTATTTTAATACTGAGTTTTTATGTTTACTACTCTTTTTTTATTAAAATTGTAAGATAAATTTTAAGAATTCAATTGTCATATTGACCGACGATTATAAGTCAAAACTTAAATGGAAAAAGTCAGTAAATTATGGCTAATCTTTTAATATATAATATTGTTTATTCTTAAACCATGTACATGTACATTTGTATTTTTCTTTATCATTTTTTAAATTATCAATCAATTGAATAATTCATAAAATCTAATTTGTAACTTTGAATAATTCCTCGGAATCTTTACTAAACACGAATAACAAATTAAATAAAATGTTTCAAAATTGATAGTGTCATATTAATACCATAAAAATGTACCTTTTTTCTCAATTATTGTACATATTTATTGTTTTTATCTCATATAGATAAAATGAAACATGCAATTGTTGTTGTTGTTGGTATTTTTTCGAATTTGTATGTTTATGTATAATAATAATCAATAAATTTAGGAGTTGATCTGTGTTCATTAATAATTGTAACCAAACTAAGTGACAAACATTCATTTTGGGAAAAAAGCTTATTTATCTGTTAAAATATTTGTTCTGTTCTGTAACGATATCAAACATCTACTCCAAAACCGGGAGAGACCGGACAATAAACGTGTGATACTATTCGCCGGTCACTAGTAAATCCCGGTCAAAATAGACCGGGAGAGACCGGGAAATACCGATAGGAGTACATCCCTCTATAAATAGATTTTCGGAATATTTAGGTCATCAACTCATCATTCTATTTACAGCTTTCGGACACATCACGGATTTATTCCCTGCTGTTAAGTCCGTGTACAACAATAACATACCATAATAACCCACTGTGTACTACAAAATGATAAATTAAAAAAAACCCGAAGAGCGCGATTTATTGACGGAAAAGGTTATTTCATTTGAAAATATTTGCATTGCGAAATTCTCCAGTTCGCTATTCATTGTACATATCGCGACATTTCATTTTTAATTAATAATCAAGCACCCTCATACCGATCGGAATGATCGGCTTTTATTATGACCGACTAAAAGGCTCGAGAAGTTGCTGTCGCCCTTTCACAAAATCTGATTTCATTCCATAAGAGGCGCCGCGCTTCGGCGCGGACGCCAATAAAATTTGGCAATCTCAATGAAAATGAATTCTGTACATCTGATGATTCTTCCACAAAGGCTGACAATGTTCTGTACATTGGACTTATCTCAAGAAGATAACACATTTGCAGAGTTAGTACAGATTCTACCAGCTGTGATTTATCCATTTAAAGACAGTGGTCATCTAGAAGAATGTGTACTATACAACAAATTGTAGCAGAGGAACGGTATCTCAAGTATCTAAATTCTAAGTCGACTAATAGCTTATATAAGGCGGCTAAAACTGTTTTATAGACAGTGCTAATATTGTTTTGTAGAAAATGACATTTGTGCATAATCTTTTAAGTGTCTGATCAACTATCGTCCTCATGTCTTATGTGTAGGTTAGTTATACTTGTATATATATAAATCCCCAGTCGGACCTTTTCCATTCAGCGAGTTGGTCAGAAGACTCCTCAACATGTCTTATAAATACCGACAGACACTATTCATCTTATGGTTGTGATGATCTGACAATAAGAATTAAATGTAGTTATATTTTAGGCTCAAAAATACTAAAAAGTTAAATTATTTACCAAATAACTCTATATCGTCCTCTAATTTATCCATGTTTAGTCTGAAATGAGATTATTTCCAATTAAAAATAATATAAAAGACTATACTTTAAAAAATATGTGACTGCTAGACACTGTACACATCTACTAAACCCTGTACATTAAACTACTACACCCCGTTCACTTGAATTTGTTTTCTTTGCTAGACTCTGTACACAAGGCAATGCCGTTTTTTGCAAATTTTGTCAAAAGCAGCTCGAATTTAAGGTTGGAAATTCAAATTTAAGTAGAGGGTTGACTATAGTTTGTGTTAAACAGCGAATTTTAATACAGCAAATGCGTTTTGGGTTTGATTTAGTGGTAAATATCAACATCGTTCACACATGTCAACAAATACGCTACATTTTATCGCCAAGTGAACAAAAAGTATTC